TATTTCATTTCCTTTGACACGAATTTACATTTGTTAGGATTCACTTTTAAATCAGCATCTTGTAAGAGTGTAAAGACTTCCGTCAAGTGTTTTATATGATCGTCTATTGTATTGTTGGTAACGATTCTGTCATCTAAATACGAGGCGTATTTGGAAACTAAGTACCGTTTTGAAAAAAAAAAAAAAAATAGTAAAACAATTTTTTCAAATCCAATTTTATTTTTACATGAAAATACATGTCTTAAACTATTTTTCAACATAGTTTCCGCCAATGATCAAACACTTGTCATAGCGGGTGACTAGTTTTTGTATACCATCGTCAAAGAAACTTCCCGCCAGTTTCGATAACCACGACTCCACAGCATTTTTTTTCGTGTCATCGTCAGATCCAAAGCGCTTGCCACCAAGCTCGCGCTTCATGTGCAGGAACAAGTGATAGTCGGACGGCGCCAAGTCCGGGCTGTACGGCGGGTGATCGAACTGCTCCCAATGAAACTGTCGAATTAACGATTGAGTGACACCAGCAGTATGGGGCCGAGCATTGTCATGGAGCAAACACAATTCCTTTACTGAGCATTCCTCTTCGTTTGTTTTGAATGGCACGCCTTAGTTTTTGTTAAAGTCTCACAATATCGTGCCGCATTAATGGTTTCACCTCTCTGGGAAGAAATTCAGTAAGCAAAACGCCTTTCCTATCCCAGAAGACAGTGCACATGATTTTTTGTGATGACATTGTCACTTTGAACTTTTTTTTTTTTCGGAGAATGAGTGTGTCTCCACTCCATCGATTGTTGTTTCGATTCTGGTGTGAAATGACACACACCCAAGTTTCATCACCTGTCACAATTTGGTTTAAATGTTGGTTTATAATTTGGTCTCATCACTGTACCGCGTGAGAAATGTCAGGGCACTACCAAGTCGCTTTGTTTTGTGAACATCAGTGAGCATTTTTGGAACCCATCGGGAACACAGTTTGCGATAATTCAAGCGGTCAGACACAATTTCGAACAAAACAGTACGTGAAATTTGTGGAAATGCCTCTGAAAGAGTTGTCATTGTGAAGCGTCTGTTCTCATGAATTGCTTCATCAACTTTCCTTACCAAATCATCGGGTGACAACAGAAGGCCGACCACTCCGAGCCTCGGCGTGGACATTTGTTCGACCTGCATTAAACATTCTTACCCACTTTCTCACCATTCCATCACTTATCGCGTATTCACCGTAAACTTCTGTCACTTGACGATAAATTTCGGCCGGTTTAACATTCCTCGCGTTCAAAAATTTAATCATGGCACGAATCTCACAGTCAGTGGGAGAACTAACTGTCTTAAACATTTTGAATGTGCACAGCAAAGTGAAAACACAAAATAGAATAACCAAAATGCCGACAATTGAAAGTCAGTGAACAAGAAAGACTAGTGTGCATGTGCGGGACGCCTATTACAGCGCTGCGACGGCGCTAGAATGAAACGGTACTTAGTTTCCAAATACGCTACATAGATCAACATGGATTTTCCTTGAACTCGCCAAAGAATTATGTCCATTGCTCATTGAGAAGTAGCTGGGGTGCACCACATAACGCGAATGGCATACGTAAAAGCGTAAATGCCAGATTTTGTGATAAATTCCGTCTTACTAATATCCTGTGGTTTCATACTGATTTGAAAATAGTCAGAGGTAAGATCTAGCATTATCATATATCTCCTGGAATTTATTTTTGTCATGTATCTCGTGGAATTTATATGTCTAATTATCTCCTGTATGATCAATAACAGTTACACTGGATGCTTTGATATATTATTTAATTTTCTATAATCTATAGCAAACTGCCACACTTTACTTTCTGTAGGGGTAAATTGTTCTTTTTTTGACATAATATGACTGGTCTTGCAAATGGACTACTATAAGGCACAATTATTTTATTTTTTTAACAATTCTTTATTGTGCTGTTCAAGTATGGCTTCCTTTATTTTATCATACGTGTAGGGCTTAGCCCTACAGGGTAAATTATCTCCTTCGTCAACCGAGTGGTTTTACACCGGAGTCAGCCCTGCTTGGTTACTGAAAAGATCTGCAAAGTCTCTTACCAATTCTTGGATTTTCTCCTTTTCATCCTCTTTCAGGATTTTGAAAAAAATCACTTCAAGCTGCACTGGCTCTTGTTTAGATGCACCTAGGTATCAAATTTCATAGCCCTGGGTCTATTAGCTTACGCACAGCTCAAATGAAAGACACACACACACAGATAGATATGTTCTTTTATTATATGTAGAGATAAGTACAGAAACAGACTCATTGATGAACACTTGGTCGAGTGTATTCAAATGGCAGCCACTACCTACTTTCCCTACATTAAAAAACTTGTTGATGACAAAAAAAAAAAAAAAAAAAAAAAGAGTTCCATCCTTCTCATTAAAGTTAGTAAATCTGATAAAAAAATCTGTTATTATATTTACTATTTATTATTACTGCACTTCAGTAGTACTTAAAAATGGTATGGTACCTCAGAAGCTTCATGAGTTTGTTGACCACTGGATTAATCCATTTTACATTAACTCCTGTGGGGAAAAAAGTTCAATTTATGAACATTTTGGATGATAAATGCCCTTCACAAATGAATTCAGTTTGTGAACTGAGATTTTGTTGCACCTGAAAATGCATTTAAAGTTAATGTAATCAAATATCACTCACTAAAATGGGTTTGTTCAAAACTTTCTATACATGATCAAATTGTTGGTCACTCTTCAGATCCATGTTTTTTACTTAGCTGTTATTGTGGCTGCAAAAAAGTAGAGTACAACATCCGTAATCAGGACTCGTCGGGACTTCGACGATTCCGAATTGGGGTTTTTTTCTGGATTATAGATCATCAATTTAAATCTGGTAAGATGGCATGCAGAACTTATACAATTAAAAATATGATACCGTAATTTATGAAATGAAAAGCAATTATGATCTAAAGGGAATCAAAATTTACAGGGGGGAAAAAAGCAGCTTAATATTTATTTACTTTATTAAACATTTCTTTCAATGTAAGTTGTTTAAGTTCCTTCATTTTTTGTGCTAATAGTTTCTCTTTAATTCTATAAACAGACATAATTTCTTGTTCATTTACAAAGTTTCACTGTTCAAATCCTGTAATTGCTGTGTCGAGAATATCAACTAACTTGTCAATCGAAATTTTTCCGTTTTCAATAACTTCTCTGTCACTTTCTTCACTATCAGATGCGTGCATGGGTAAATGCTTTACATGCACGTGTAGCAGATGCACACATTAAACGCGCATGCGTAAACACTTTACACACATGTGTAAGTTTGTGGCTTGAGATCCGGATTATAGATCATTCCGGATAATGGATGTCTGGATTATGGACTTTATACTGTTTAAATATAGCAAGTTGTGGCTGTCCATAATCAGACAGTATTTGGTTCATCGTACTTCGATATTCATGTATTCAAAGGGAAAAAAATAGTTTTATTTCTATCATTCTTTGAAATACTACATTATAAGTACATTATATGCACTACATGCCTGTGTTTTTCTACTATTTTTTAATTAGACTAAAATATTATAATATGAGTAATCCCTTAATGTGTATGAGAATATTAATACAGTCAAAAGTCGTTAATTCGGACACCCATAATCCGGACCTCAAAGCTAAAAACTTTCTGCGCATGCACCGCATTGGCACATGAGCACAGGCGTTTTACGCGTGCACATAAGACCTTGACTACTGCGCATATGCGTGTGCGCAAGTGCAGAATACGTTTTTGCCTGCACGTTTAATGTATAACGGACGGTGTAAGCTAAAATTATCTAATTATCTATTTCAGTTAATGTTAATGATTGCGTTGTTCCTTAATCTTCGAATTGGATCCGCTTATTATTTTTTGCAGACTGTAAGAGGAATTTTATAAAAGTAAACTTGAACTTTCGATTATGTCAAATAGAATTTCCGATGCTGGAACTTCCAAAGGATCTACAAAAGGAAAGTATGTTTCGATGTCCAACAAACAAAAAGTGGAATTGCTGCAAAAAATGGATAAAGACATGAAGAATGTGACAGAGAGGTTAGCGAAAATGAAAAAATTTCAATTGACAAGTTAGTCGGTATTCTCGGCACAGCAATTAACGGGACTTGAACAGCGGAACTTTGTAACTGAACAAGAAGTTATGTCTGTTTATAGAATTAAAGAGAAAGTATTATCACATAAAACGAAGCAACTTAAACAACTTACATTGAAAGAAATGTTTAATAAAGTAAACAAATAAATATTAAGCTTTTTTTTTGTAAATTTTGATACCCTTTAGATCATAATTGTTCTTTATTTCATAAATTACGGTTTCATATTTTTAATTTTAGAATTTCTGCATGCCATCTTACGAGATTTAAACTGATGATCTATAATCCGTAAAAATCGATAATCCAGAATCGCCGAAGTCCCGACGAGTCCGTATTAACGACTTTTGACTGTAATCGCTTAATATATCAAAATTTGTTATTCTGTATCAGAGAAAGAAAATACTGTAGCGTTCAGTTCAATGTATTTTGCATGTTTTAGTAGTACCGTATGTGATATCATGTACAGAATTTTTATTATTAATGTATTTAAGTTAATAATATTTCACTGTTTGTTAAATAAATAGATTGTGTTAAGCACTGTACACATAAATGTCATATTTAATATAGCTTTATTTTTATCTGCATATATTTGAGATATATCTTAAAATACATTATTTATGATCTGGGAGCATTATAATATCACAGTTTTAAATGCATACTTTTGAAATTCATAAGCTGCATTTAAAATCAGTAAATATCTAATAGTAAATATTCAATGCAAACCATTAGATAAGGATTGTTATTACAGTCACAAACTTAGTAATATGTAATACTCTCTGTTTAGTAGTAAATTAAGAAAACTCTCTATGGTTTTATAAAATTTATAATAGAAGACTAATAAAATGTTATTTTATAGCAAACCTTTTATATTGTAGCAAAACTGTTTCACCAAGCATCCATTAGCTTTAGGAAATTTTGTATGGAGTCTGAAAGCTTACCTGTTGATTTACATATTGTGTTTAGTGATATTTTACAAGGTGCAGGTATGTGTTTTACTGTTTTCTTTTATTGGTTTACTACTGTATTATTTAACTTGCTAAGAATATTTTTAAAAAATTATGCAGTTAGATTATGTAAATCTATAAGAATTTAATAAACATGCATTGATAAAAGTGTTAAGAAGTATATTTATAAATACACTCTTTTGCAAAAAAAATTGAAGCACCAAGAAGGATTTTGGTGATTGTGATGAAATTTGGTATGCAAAAACATCGTGATTGAACATGCAAATGATCAAAGTTTCAAGACATATGAACAGGAATTGCGATCATAGCGCACATTTATAGTGCGCAATTTGCAAAGTATAAAACCAGTAACAGAGGCGGAAAATTAATTTTTTTTGTTGCTGCCTTTGTAATTCGGTAAAGAAGCAGCTAAAGATGCCATTATGACGATATCGAAGACCTCGCAGACAACTAAACGACTTCGAACGTGATCGCATTGTAGAGTTGCGTGAAGCTGGGTGGTCATACCGAGCAATAGGCCACCACCTGCAGCGTACAGACACTGCTGTGCAAAGATGTTGGCAGCAATGGATGCTAAAGGAAGTTGCCGACAAAAGGAAGGCTCTGAAAGACCAAGCAGCAGAAATGCGAGGCAAGATAGGATGATTGTTCGGCAGGCCCAAACCGCCTCAACGATATCATCGTCGACTATTCAACACACTATAGCCAAATTTACACCTCTCATTATACCATCCACCATATCACTATGCTTGTCTCTGAGGTGGGGTTATGCTGACAGAGGCCTTTTAGACATTTGCCTTTGACCCCACAACATCGGTTGAGTGGAGTGGCGGAGTTGTCTGGAGTGGTGTCGCAGCCGATCATCATGGCTGCCATCAGACTGGCATTGTATAGTGTTCAGTGATGAATGCCGCTTCATTCTTGAAGCAGATGACCACCGTATTCCTGTCTGGAGAGGACGGGGCCTTTGTTTTACAAAGGCGTGCAGCCACAACCCAGTGTTATCTTTAATCATTCTCCACACATCTTTAACAGCTCAGTGGTGTGTTGATACCATTCTGTGGCCAGTTGCATTATCCTTCGTGGCACATCATCCTGGGGCCATTTTCCAACAAGAAAATGCCAGGCCACATACCGCTCATATATCTCTGGACTGTCTCCGTGCGGTTGATACTCTTTCTTGACCAGCAAGGTCACCAGACCTTTCACCAATCGAGCATGTCTGGGACACAGTAGGCCGCTAGATTCGGGCACCACAAATACCGCAGATATGGAGCAACAACTGATAAATGCCTGGCATAGTGTGTCGAAGGATGACATTAGGAACCTCTGCCACTCCTTGCCTCGATGAATCCAAGCATACATTGTCTCCAGGGGCGGTTTGACCAACTACTAATTTCAACACTCAGTGGGGAATTGGGAGCTGTGAACAGGTTCTATGACCTTGATTTTTTAATCATTTTATTATCTGTGTATGAGCTATACACATATTCAATTTCTTCAAAAACAACCACTTCCTTCATGGTGCTTTGATTTTTTTTCAAAAGCGTGTATATAAATTTTTAATAAATGGCATATTCCATAAAGATAGCTTATATTATCAAAGCTTTCAGTGCAGTTGATAAATCTTATTAATTGAAATATCAAGCAAGATGATATTCACATATTTTTAATGTAAACATTACCTTTCATTCACAGATTTTTAAAATTAAACTTTATGGTGATAGAAGCTTTAAATAGCTCTTAAATTAGTGTTAAATAATATCTTTTGAGTATCACATTTAATTCTTTTAGTTTTATACACTTTTAACAGCAGTTTAGTTTTGAAGAATTGGAGAATTCTGAAAAAGGAGATACTTTCAATGTCTTAAAATGTGGTAACATTTAGCATTGTTTGAATTTTGTACCTCTTTTGAAATCAAGAAAGGCCAGAAAATTAGCTTTAATATCTAAAGCATCTTAGTGATGTAAAGCATGGCATTACTTTTTAAATAAACGTATACTTTTCTGTTGCAGTCATGCCGTCAGCCTTTGCAGTCTTCTTTTAATCACGTTTTCAACTTTGTTCAATTAGCATCAATATGTTCTACATTTATGGGTCTTTGAATTCTTCAGTGGGTATTCGTTTTACTTTTAATGTAATAACACTAACAAAAGAGTCTGTTTATTCACATATTTAATTTTTTGATGAATATTAAATTTTATATTGAGTGCAGTAATTCATGTAGTCAGTTCTGTATAGCTTGGTACTATTATTTGACACAGGAGAAATGCCAGATAGACATTTATAAATTTTAAATTATACATTCCTGCATTATGTTTGATTATTTGCATATTCAAACTGATTGTTATTGTGAAAAAATATGTTTATTACTGTAAAATTGCTTAAGCTAATTATGAAAAATAATATTTTTATAATGCAGGCTAATTATAAACTAAATTCTGATTTCAAAATGCTGTAAAGTAAGAAGCACTGATCAAAATGACCTGAATTTTGATCTCAGTATGCATGGAACAATGGAATTGTTTTTGCAAACAAAAAATATACTTCCAAAATTTATCTGTAGATGGTACTCTTCTTGGTAAACATGGGAACTTTGTTTCCTGAACGGGAAAAATTTGCTGTTAGGTTACACATGAAATTAATTAGTATTTGCACATTAATTGATTTCATGTGTTAAGTTCCCATTGTTCTGTATCTGAGCATTTTGTCACGACTTTTTTATTCAAGGATCATGCTCTGCTTGTGAAGCATTTTCTACTTGAATAGTGATCATGCATTAACTGCACTTAGCAAGTTCCAGGCATTCAAAGGGCTTGGCTTTGGTCCTTAAGTATGGGCTCAGGTCCAGTGTTGTGGAGAATGAAAGAGAATTTAAGTTCTGTGGTCCAAATTCTGCAAGCAGCCTACAGAAAGTGATTCTCAAATTCATAGGCGAGACCCTGGCAGAAGAAGAAAAGCAGTCACTTTGATGTCAGTGGAAGATGTGATAGCAGCATTGTAGGAAAGGATGAGCAGTGATGTGGGAAGCTGCAATTCAGGGAGGATTGCACAGTTGTTAGACATGCCGGTCAACATGGTTCATAAAATTTTATGAAACATTCCTTAATGTTATTCATACAAAATTACACATGTTGGGAGTTGCTTTCTGCTAATCTGCTATAACGAGAAGCTTCAACCCCATAATTTCTTGCTCAGAGGAAATGAGCAATGTATTTTCATGGAATATTTTGGGAAGAAGTGAAACCCATTTCCATCTCGAAGGGGCTGTCTATATGCTTAATTACAGAATATGAGTGAATGAGAATCCATTCCCATTGAAATCAGTGCCTCTTCATTCAGTAAAAATGACTGTGGTGAATGAACTCACTAATCATGCTATAGAAATGATCCTATGAAGAAAATCGCTGTGATATGAGTTTATGGCAGTGTTTATCGTTGAACCATTCTTTTTCGTAGAGATAAATCTTGTGGGTCCTGTTAGCTGTTTTATCACTGGCAAATAGTATGAATCTTTTTTATGCAACCACATTATTCTGACACTTCAACAGTGTGAGCCATACAGATAACTAAATTTTTATGCAATTTGGTACTCCTCTGCACTTTGCAATACCAGTGAAACAGCTAATTATCATCCGTTTTAAAAATGACAGGATTGTTAGCCGTAATTGCCCAGTTGCCATATTCAATTGATCTTAATCCTTATTACTTCTGGGTTTGGAGGCACTTAAAAAATGTTATGAATGGTTGTCAGATTGCGAACTTGGCTAATTCAAAGGCATGCATTACATGCAATGTCCAAGGCATTATCTCTGATACATACTCCAATCTGTCGTGTAAGATACTATTTTGGGTTTTCAGCTTGCAGCAGAATATGATGGACAGTATGTTGAACATTTCTTGCATCAGTTGTAGTTACTTGTATTATGACTTACTTTCCGTAATGCTTCCATGAATTCTTAAATCATGCAAGGTTAATTAAATTGTCTTTTTCCTCTAGCTGATTATTGTTTCCCTTCGGTTAACATCATTCCCATGTTTGTTGAGTTCAACGTCACCTGTCAAAATCTTTGGAAAGTATTATTTTTCTTTGTGCAATTCTTTTGCTTCTTATATATTCAGATTATTCTGATAGATATTTCTTAATTTAAAACATTTTGAAATTGGAATTTCAATTATGATATCATCATCCTGTATATACAAAATATAAAATTTTTGCTGTAGTTTTCAGTAAGTATATTGCAAATTTTAAGACATATTATTCATTTTTCTGTATATTTCACTATTTATATCAAAAAATAAATTTCTACTGTGTTTTAATTAATTAACATTAAAATTATATTATTATCTTAGCATAAAAAACAATTTTCAGAAATCAGAATCAATTTTAAGGTAAATGCTTGGTACTTTAGCGCAACCACCTTAGTAGAAGTGGCTAAATTTTGAGAGTGTTCCAAAATACTAGAAACCATGCGCATAACAATTCTTTAGTTTTAACAAGCAGCGCCACTATCTTTATACATTTTCTTTTTGCTATATTCCAAGCTGCAATGATTTTTATAGATAGTATTTTTTGTTTTAAATTCAGTTTTAACCCCTTAATTGCTGCGGGCGTATATATACGCCTTGCTCTGCTGATGCATTAACTGCTCCGGGCATATATATGTACCCTTCCAAAATAGTATCATTTGCTTTGCGCTGCTACCCGTAAAATTATTCGCAAACCTTTGAATTGCAACACCACAAGGACCTTGACAAAGTATGCGAAGGAGGATACTATTTCAGAAAAGTGTGTGGAGAAATTGGAAAAATTGATGTGTCTAAAGCGGTGAAAGTAATGACTGCGAGGTATTGGCTGGTGTTGTTTGAGTAAAACGTATTTTTTTTTTTTTATTCTGTGTCCTCCATTTTCATTTACTTTTCAGTTCTGGTAATAAAGAAAGATATAACGGATGTTTCAAACCCATTTATCTTTTTTGAATTATCGTTTTGTAGACGAGTATATGAACCAACACCT